ATCAGAATCCCCACTCCAGCTCCAGTATAGTTAGTGCTCTGTGAAGTCTTAATATATATTAAAGTCTCATTATAATGGAAATTTGACCTTTGACCTATTCTTAGAGATGGGTGATAAATACACCAGGAAGCCAACACTTCCCTCACTTAAATGGAGAATGTTCCAAGATGTACTCATTCCTGATGACGGCAGGAAGAGATAGTCAGGTTGACTATCATTTGATGAATTTGGAAGGCTAGAGAGACAATCAAAATAACCAAGATCCTAATTCCCTTTTACTTCTCTCATACACAAATGCGATTTCAGTTAATAAAGGCAAACAGTTAAACTGTGGGGATTTTCCTTCTCAATATGGGAAGAAACCCTTTCACAAGTAGGACAAATGACCATTCTTTTTCTTTAAGAAACTGACATTATGTATGTCTTCTCATGAAACATGTAATGTGTGTGTGCATGTGTGCTCACGTGTACACACACATACACATTGCATACTTACATTGGTCTACTTTCTGCAGAGGATCAACTTTACTGCTTTCTCTCTTCTAAAAGTTCCTTTTCAGCACTAAACAATTCTTAACCAGCATAAAGGCAATATCCTATACATTCCCTGAAGTCTATCTATGTCTGCCTTTCCTGCCTAGCCTGCTATGTGGACCTCTGTTTTCTCTGAATTCCAGAAATGCTTTTGAAAAGCAGCACCTTTTAAAAATGGTGACTCTGGACGCCCTCTGCCGTCTATTGTAAGTTCTTCAGCTCTGCTACTGAGAGCAAAGCATGAAGTTGGCCAGGAATTACTGAGAGAATACACGCACACAGCCGTCACTTGGACAGGCAATACAGAGATGGAGTTAAAAACATCAGACTCCTGGGTTCAAATACCGTGCTCTCCTGCTCCCTAGTGTTATATCTACAGGCAAGTAACTAAACTCTCCAAGCTTCAGTTTATCTGTGAAATGGGGTAATACTAACTTATGGGGTTTTCCAGGGATTAAATGAGATAAAGTGCTTTGCACAGGACCTGGCAAATGTTAAGTCTTCTTATTATTACCTTTCTTAAGAAGTAGTTTTGCTCTTGTCACCCAGGCTGGAGTACAATGGTGCAGTCTAGGCTCACTCCAACCTCCACTTCCAGGTTCAAGCAATCTTCCTGCCTCAGCCTCTGAGTAGCTAGGATTACAAATACCCACCACCACACCCCGCTAATTTTTTGTACTTTTAGTAGAGACGGGGTTTCACCATGTTGGCTAGGCTGGTCTAGAACTCCTGACCTCAGGTGATTTGCCCACCTCGGCCTCCCAAAGTGTTGGGATTACAGGCATGAGCCTCCATGCCCGGCCAGTAATCCTATTATATGTTATTTTTGTTCATAGTCTTTGTAATTTCATGAACGCCAATTTTTCATAAGCCCCATTTTTGTTGAACTCTCTATCACCCAAGGACCAATGTGTTAAAAATCAATTATGCTCATCTAAATTGGAAATGGTATTTCCTCTGCTCTCCGTTATCTTTTCTGTATAACAAGTTTTTTTGGCCAAAGCCTCATGATGCATGCAGCTACCAGCTACAACCAGACCATACTCCTCACCCTACCTGACATCAACCCAGTAATTTCTAGCTACAAAACTGAAGGTTAAGCTAATTCTCTTCAACCTTCATGACTACATGTGTCTCCCTGGGATGCAGTAGAATACATCAGCAGGTTCTGCTACTATCAGTTACCAGAAATGAGACTTGCATTTGTGGATTTGAAATCAAATCAAGTTGTAGGGGAGTCCCTTTGCAGGGGTTATGCCTTCCTTTGTGCTGTCAATTTTAACAGATGATGTTGCTGTCTGGGGGTAAGGGCTACTTAGGGGACTAAGACAGGGTGATGCTGTGCTCTTCCAGGTGAGCATCTTGGCCTGACTTAGGTCAGGAAAAAGCAATCAGGAAAGACAAGGGATTTACAAAGTATCACCCTAATCTGACAATGCTCAGGCAGGGCTGCAGTTCAGACCATGATGCCTTGCAGGCCAACTCAGGGGCCCCTGGTTCTCTTTCCTCTCCTCCTGATTAAATGAGGCCTTCTCCTATCCCAGAGCAGTCAACTCTGCAGTGTTTCAGCTGCAGGGCACTGATTAGTGGGTAAGCATGTGGTTCTCTTTCCTTCTGGGCCTTCTTTCCCCATCCCCATCTTTAATGGCTGTGGTAATGCTGCCTCTGAGGCCTTTGGAAGGAAGTCAGCTGGGCCAGGTAGGCCAAGTGGAGGGAGGGGGGCAAGCACTTCAGCAGCGTTTTGATCCTCTTTCATTAGCAACTTGAAAGTCACCTGGAACCACTGTGCCCACTGCCTACTCCCCCAACCTCTTCCCAAATCACTTCTTTCTCATATTAGCTGAGTGCTATGGATGTCTGGGGGGAAACTCCCATGGTTACATTACTGCAAGATACAGGGGCTCTGGTCCAGTACATGAATGCACTGGCCAAGACCCCCGCACAGGCCAAGTCATTCCACTTCTCTGTATCTTGGCTCTGTCATATGTGAAACTGGGATAACAACTAGTTCGTGAGAAAACTGTGACTTATCTAAAGTATATTGTGACAGACTGTACATATTAACTAAAATCTGCCATTAATTAATCAAATCACTCTTTCAAAAAATACTAAGACCCCATTAAATGTATAAATAATATGCTACATAAGCACCTTGAGGTCACGTAAAACAAATGTAGAATACTCTGTTCTTCAGGAGAAACCAGATATGGAAAAAACCATCTGTAACAATACAAGGCGGTGCACTTTAAGTGTTAAAATAAATGACACAGACAACTGGGATTATAAAACACCAACAAAAGGTCTTCCTTTTATTACGTGTGTGTGCGCATATGCACAACATGCACACACACACACACACACATACACACACACAACTTATATATGCCACAGGGTGATATGAATATTACCCTAGAGTTAGCACTTATCCCAAATGCAATCATGTGGTCATTTGCCCAGTTATCCTTTTGATGTCTGTTCCTCTTGCAGATGGCAAGTTCCATGAAAACAGAGGACATTTAAAAAATCTCCTTGTTTTGACTCCATGTTATTGAATAAAACATATCTTATGAACTCTGGTTATACCGAGATCAAGTCTCCCATGACTCCTGTTTTCAGTATAACCAGAGTTCCATTATACCAATATCCATTACTTTTTGTTAAGAGAACACTTTTTTGAGCTAAGGCCATTTGAGCCAATGTAATTCCTTGATTCATTTTCTATGCAATACAGTTGAACCACTTCCTTTTTAAAAATATCATTTCACTTTTACTTTTGTGCAATCATTTTCTTAGAATCAATTTTACCATGATTTGGTTCCTCACAATTTCTTATGCATATCAAATGTTACTGATGATAGCTTTTGCCACTGTAATCATTTTTATGGCTAGTTTATCTATGAAGAGTAATTTCTCTGAATCAAATGTATAGATAGAAATGTTATGAAGGAAATTTGAATTGTGGGTTTAGTCAAATCTTGTGTAGTTTTGCCACAATTGGTCTTAGTTTGTATGGATTTCTTTATGTGTATCTGAAAAAATAAATGGATATATTTTTCATTGTCTTCAAATCCTAATGCCCTGGGATTCTTGATTCAGTTAACTCAGTGGTGAGCATGAGAGAACAGCAGAGGAAGGGTATTTATTATGTGTAGGGCAGAGACTACAGACCTCAGCAGTGGGTGCTGGCATGACCCTCTAAAAGGGCCTGTTGAGTCCAACACTGCCTCAGCATATATTTACTCAGGACTCCAGGGACAAGGCCAGACTTCCCACTCTTCCCCCTCCTCACAACTGAGACCAGAGGATCCAGAGGTTGGATCTGAAGCCTATACCTCCTGTCCACATGGGCACACAAGCTTTCTGTTATACCAACTATTAAAATGTGTTGCCCAGACTAGCAACAGCATCATCTGATAATGCATTTGTAATGCATATTCTTGGGCCCTGACTCATATGTATGGAATCAGAGATTATGGGGGTGGGGCCCATCAATCTGTATTTTAACAAGCTTTCCAAGTGATTCTGATGCATGTTCAGGTTTGAGAGCCACAGCCTTATACTCAGCTATCATCGTGGCTATGAGAAGGTAGGAGGAAGATATGCAAAAAGATTGAAAATTTACTTCAAATAAGTCAAAATATCCTTTAAGCAAAATCAAGTCTCCCACGACTCCTGTTTTCAGTACAACCAGAGTTCATAAGAAGTTTTAGTTCACTGCAAAGAAATAGAGAAGCCTACAGTTTTGCCTACCTGAATTGTAGCAGGAAAATACTTACTTCCTCATTATAATATCCCAACAATATTCATTATAAGTAGTTAAAAGTTTGTATTTACTTCCTGGATCATCCTCAGCGAAACTATGAACAAAAATTGCGCAGGATTGTTCCATTTCACAATGCAGTCCGTTCTTCAGTAGGAATGATCACTCTGTAATAAGCAACACCTACAGAAACAATAAGCAAATGAACAGGCCAAAAGGCCCCTGGGAGTCAATGTGGCAGGCTAAAATTTTCCACGTTGGGACAGAGGGGGAGAGCATCCGCCACGCTCACTGCCCCCCAACCTGCGCAAGCGGCGTCAACCCGGCCCAACCTCTGGAGACTGGAGGATTCCCCATGTTGGGACAGAGATCTTGTTTGTCTTTTCCCTGTGGCATGCGAAGAGACTTTCATAGTGCCTTGTCCTTTGTAGATGCTCAATATAGATCTCAATAGAGATATGAATGGATATATCATTTATATCCTTGAAGATATAAACAGCTTATGAATGCCTCATTGAAGAAGTGACAAAAGTTAGACCTTGAAAAATGGGCAGAACAGGATAAAGAGTGGGGACACTTTAGGTGGGAGGAGGAAGGGATACACAGTGGTCTCAGCAAAACCTGGAGTCAGGTCTAAATGTGGAAGGTTGGGACTGGCTGGCTTAGTCCCTTCAGGCTGCTATGACAAAATACCAAAAACGGGGGACTTAAAAATAACAGAAATATATTTCTACCAGTTCTGAAGGCTGGGAAATCCAAGAACAAGTCGCCAGCATTTGGTGTCTAGTGAGGGCCCACTTTTTGGTTCATGCCTTTTTGCCATGTCCTCGCTTAAAGGAAGGGGCTACCAAATTTCTTTGGGCTTGTTTTATAATGGCACAAATCCCATTCATGAGGGTCCCACCTTAATTCCCTCCCAAAGGCTACATCATCTAATAACAACACCTTGGGGATTTGGATATAACATATGAGTTTAGGGGGACATTTAGACCCTGCACTAAGCATATGGTATTTGGAGAGGAAAAGTTGTCCATGGGGGACCAAGATGACCACCAACATTATTATATAGTTAAATGAGCTGGTGAGTTAATAAGTACTAATCCTCTCACACATCCCCTACCATGCTAGGCACCCAGCAGAGGAGAAAAGGACAGACATGGTACCTGAGTCTACTGAAGAAAACAGACACTGACAGGCATATGATGAGTGCTTTGATAAGTGGTACACGGGGCACCTAACCAGGTGAGCTAGACCAGAAAGCCTTCCCAGACAAAAAGATGTCTAAGCTGAGACCTGAATGATGAGTCGTTAGCCATCCCACAAGGAGGGAAGAGGGGTGGGGAATAGCAAGAATTGGAGCTGGATGGACAAACGTGGGCCAGATTAGGAAGGACCTTCTAAACCATGTTGAAGAGGATGAGCTTTATCCAGAAGCATGTGAGGTCCTCAGGTTTTAAACAGGGGAGAAAACAGACTATCTATGACAGTTTCACAGAATTTATTCTTTGAAATTCCTACCACTGAGATGGGATATATGCTCCCTCCCTTTGAATCTGGTTGGGGGGCCATTGGGACTTTAGTGGAAGTGATGTTATGACTTCTGAGAGTAGGTCATAAAAGGTCCTACCCTTGGGACAGTCACTCCTAATACCTAACCACCTTGCTTTGGGGAAGCTACATGTAGACGTTCCAGCCCCAGCACTAGCTGAGGTCCTAGCATCAATTGCCAGAAATACTAAGCAAGGCTTTGAGATGATTCCAGTCCCAGCAACAATCTGATGACTAAAACTGCAGGAGAACCTAAATAAGAACTGTCTGGCTGAGCCCAGTCAGAACCTAGGATAATGAGAATAACTCAATGAATGGTGTTTAAAGCCACTGAGTTTTGGAGTGTTTTTTCACACCGCAATCAATAACCAGAACTATTCCTGATATCACCTAATTAAAAAGATCTTTTTTTGTCTCCTTTTAGTAACTGTGCTAAACTTACCATACTGATTTTTGGGATTCTGCAGCAACAGACATCTATGGTAAGTAAAAACAATCTACAAAAGCACATAACAGAGTTAAAGAATAAGATGTTTTGTCCAATCAAATATTCTCATTAACAGACTAAGTAGGCCAGGTGTGGTGGCTCATGCCTGTAATCTTAGCACTTTGGAAGGCCAAGGCAGGCAGATCACTTGAGGATAAGAGTTCGAGACCAGCCTGGCCAACATGGTGAAGCCCCATCTCTACTAAAAAAAAAAATACAAAAAAAAGAGCCAGGTATGGTGGTGCACAACTGTAATCCTGGCTACTTCAGGAGGCTGAGGCATGAGAATCACTTGAACACAGGAGGCAGAGGTTGAATGAGCTGAGATCACACAACTGCACTCCACCCTGGGTGACAGAGTGAAACTGTATCTCAAAAAAAAAAAAACAAACCCAAAAGAGAAAAAAAAAAAGGTTAAGCAAATGATTTAGGCAAACTACTACTTACAAATACACACCATTTTTTCCAAATGAATTACTGAATTTTAAAGAATGAAATGCCCACCATAACCTATATTGAACACTATTGTTTAAGACTTTAGAATCATCTGCTACATTGGGGTGAACATTATACACGTTAGTTACCTCTGTGCTAAGGCTTTGAGGGGGAACAGGTGGAATGGACCAGTTTTTCCAGTTGGCTAAGCACCAGCCACCTCCTGGTGCAGGGACTGGGAAGCTTGTTGCTATTTATTGCTCACAATATTTGGTGATTTTGCTAATGAATGGTCGTTAGCTAAAAACCAGGGCCACACTCACCCAGAGCATTAGAGCAATTTGAACTGTGAGAAGTGGAGAAGATAAAAAGTAAGCTGAGGGGACAGGAAGCATGCCCCATTATTCCCTAAGAGTGAAGGTGGAGAAATCCAAGCACTTTTTTTTTTTGCATGTGCAAAACACCAGACACACACAGAAACAATTAGGATTCTATGAGGGCAGAGAATTTGTTTCTCTAAATGGGGCTGTCCAGTGTTTCACAGAGCACAAGGAAAAGAAATTCTTCCAATATTTTTGAGCAGAAAGAACTCATTTGTTTCTATAATTCCTTAACTAGTTGCAAATATATTGCATGTACTATGTGCCAGCCACTATCTGCTTGCTTTATATTCCCTTCCTCATTTCATCCTCACACCAAGCCCAAGAGGTAGGTACTGTTATTCCTTTTACCAAATAAGGAAACTGAGAATGCCCAGGGCCACACAGTAAGTCATGGGAGCCCTTAGTATTCTATTTCTTAGGAGATGCTCCTTTTTCCCCTCTGAAAAGGCATAACATGGTACAGTGGGAAGGATACTAGACTAGGAATCTGGATTCTATCTCAGCTCTACCACAAATCAATTATGCCATTCGTGACTCTCATCTCTGGATCCTGTTCTCAGGTGGAATTGTGATCTCAGACCTGGATTTGGCAAACCTGAGGCTGTGACTCTCTGAGACACAGTCTACAGGTGATATTGGGGCTGTCTTGAGTGGATCATTTCCTTAACCTGAAGGATGAAGGCAGTAATTAGGAGACTCAGAAGACTCCTCCTAGTCTACAATTTCTGACTCTATAATCCTTGCCTCAGAACAATCACCAAGTGAACAGTCTTAGTTTTGGAGGTGGCAATGAAGAGCCTGCAGCAATCCCGGCAAAGAGCTGGGTCTGAGCAGCCCTCTGGGCTTTCTGAAACAAAAGGAGCAAGTGAGGCGAGGTCACCATGTATTTTCTGCTCACTGGTGACCAGGTAAGGTAAAATTCAGCACATACTGTATTTCAGACCATCATAAGTATGAAGTAGCTTTGAACTGCTCTCATGCTACATTTTTTTTAAATATCGCATTCAAGAGAGAAAAATCATTAACATATAAGATAAACTGTAGGACAATTTATTATCCACATAGTAACCTAAGCATTATGTGGCTTTTAGTGGCACTTATTTTGAAAAGCACATGGCTTGCCCGTGATCAAAACAGTCATCATTTAAATTTAGCTTACTTAGCAGTTCTAAAGGCTAAATTCTGGTTTTGTTTGTGCTGCTGAGAAGACAGACCCATCACAATCCCATCAAGTTTGCTTCTGAACCTTATTTATTTTTGAGAAAATCTGATCCTACTGAAACTTGAATGAAGATTTCAAATCTGTATGCAAATACACATAGGCATTATTGTTTTGCAGATGGAAAAATGAGGGCTCAAGTCATAGACATATATGATGGCAATGAGAAAATCCTGGGCTGTTTTCTAACATGGTAGAATAGGGTTTCAGACCTCCTGAATCCAGCAAGGATGTAATTTGCAAGTAACTACTCCCTTGAAAATCAGAGTTGACCACACTTGTAGTGAAATTCATTCCTGATGGTGCTTACTGGGTTCCACTCTGGTGCCGGAAGCTGGATTAGAGACTGACCATGTTCCTTCAAGAATCCTCAGCACTGCACAAGGGATGCACCTTTCTGAGGGAGACAAGCTTGCATCTAGACCTTCACAGTGGTGCAACATAACTTCTCAGAGATTGGCATGCCGCCATTCAGTGAATTTGGGAATTTCAGAAGACCAAGTGTCAGCACAGTGTCTGCTGAAGTGCAATGCCTGGCTTCTTAGGAAAGGCAATAACACTAGAAGCAGGCCCTTCAGATCCATAGATGGACTGAAACCAGGATTACTCAGCAAACAGGGACTGGCCGAGTGGCTGGAAGGTGCGACGGCTGACCATTCTCTTGTTTAATAGAAACATGTGGGATTTCCTGCCCCCAGGGATGTGGCAGAGCACAGCATCCAAAGAATAAGTGGTGACTTGGCCACTAACGTGCAGTTTCCCATACAGCTCATCAAATTTGGCCACAAGAGCAGGCACATCCTTCACTTTTTCCCTCACTTTGGCCAGCTGGAAAAAAGCAAGAACAGATCATTATTATCTCTGGAAGATTTATTCCTTGTTCTTACTATAACTCTAAGAAAAAGAAATGGACATGAACAAAATTGTATGGTAGGCCAGATCCAGTGGCTCATGCCTGTAATCCCAGCAATTTTGGAGGCTGAGGAGGGAGGGTCGCTTGAGCACAGGATTTCTAGGCCAGCCTAGGCAACACAGTGAGACTTTGTACAAAAAAATTAGTTGGTGTGGTGGAAGATCACTTGAGCCCAAGAGACAGAAGCTGCAGTAAGCTGTGATTGTGCCACTGTACTCCAGCCTGGGTGACAGAGCAGAATCTGTCTCAAAAAAAAAAAAAAAATATGGTATAACCTACAATAGTGAAAACCAGTGTATTGGGGCACTCAGAAGTATTACTATGAGAGATTCCAAAAGCTACACACAAAATTCAAAATTAGTATTTGAAAATCACACCTAATATAAAGGAGGGGTTCAAATAACACATTTATATAATGAAACACACCAAGTAAAGGAGGTCATATACCAGTGGAATCAACTTTGTTCAATGTAATGATTAGAGCAGGAGGAGGCAGGGCCAAATTACATGGGGCTTTATATATATTCCACAATAAAGTTTTTGAAATTTATTCTGAAAAAGCCATCAAAGCATCTAAAGTGGGACAAGATTTCATTTACATTGAAAAAGTTGCATAATGGATTGGCATGTACAGAAATGTGGAGACTCTTCTGGAGGCCCACACCATAGCCCAGATAAGAAAACATGGTGGCTTAGATTGGGAAAGGTACAGAAAAGATGGAGCAGTGCACGTTTGTGAGGTACATTTTGGAGGTTACACTGAAAGGACTTATTTTTGAATGGGTGAAGGAAAGGGAGGGGTCAAAGTTATCTTCTCAACTGGGGCTTTAGTAACTGGATGATGGGTGCTACCATTTCCTGAGATAGAGAACAGGGAAGGTGAGATTTGGAAGGGAACATCAAGAGCTCTATTTGGACCTGACTGAGATAGCCGTGAAACATCTAAATGGGTATGTCTAGAAGACTGTTGGATATACAAATCTGGGGCCTGAAGGGGAGGTCTAGACTAGAGGCATACATACTAGAGTCACAAGTATATGAACGGTATTTAACCCCAAAAATGGGCGAACTAGAATAGAGAATGTGAAGCTACTTTCTGAATAAAATCCATATTTTACTTAGTTCAATCCTTATCAAGGGTATAATCTAAAAACATTTCTTAAAAAAAGAATTTAATTGGGATCAAGCTTCCTATCAAATCCTTTGGCCCTCTCCTAAATTTGTAACACTGTTTGCACCTGCACATCTTCCTTTCAGACAGGGTTCCCAACCATACCTGCAGACAAGCAGCTTAAGTACTTCTTAATGTTCTTAAAAAAGAATAGCTTGTTAGGCCTCACTTTCAAGGTGAAAATGACTTAATGTGCAGCATATGGCTTCTAAAAGCAGCACAACAAACATGCCAAGCTGGAGGTAATTTTGATCTAAACACTGTAATAGTTCTGTTACATAACTACAGAAATAAATCAACAATTCTTTTCAATAGTCTGCAATGATATAATAGCACCTATGGTAGTTTAGTCTTATCTCGATACATAACAAAATTGAAATAACTGTTGGCATAAACATTAAATGCATCATTTGTAAACTGCAGACTTTTACAATATAAGACTACATTTGCAATCTCACACATATATGTTTAGAACTAGCTCAAAAGCTACTGGAGTTATATGAATCAATCCATTGCTCATCAAGCAGTTCCTTGAGTGTCCCCCAGTAACCAGAGGGAAGATACTGAACTAGAGGGTTCATTTTCTAAGTAAAACAGTCTCATACGAGTATTTTGCACTAAGAAGTTTGTTTGGGTGCTTTAGTCATTCAAATGGTGACAATGTATTAACGGATCGGGTCTAAGGAAAGATTGTTAACATCAATGCTGCTGAGAAAATGGAAACTGTATGAGTATTTCACATGTATGCATACACACATGACTATGCACTTAAAATCTGTTCATGCTTCCACTTTCCCTACTTTTCTAAACTTACCCCAAAAGGGTTGGGTGGATCACAATCTAAACAGAGCTAAGACCACAAATATAAAGAAGCTTGAAATCAGTCATATCCAGTTAGTCATTTTCCTGACAAGTTCCCTTTTATCAGCAGGAAGAAGCCTTAGGATGGAAGTGAGGAAATGTAACAGGGCTGGGAAGGTGACAGTGTGGCAGGAGGGGAAGCAGCCACTGCCCTCTAGTGCCAATCCTGCCATCTCAGCCGTCAGCCTGGACCAAACTATAAAAAGAGGAGGCAGGAGAAATGGAAGAAAAGGAGTACCAACCAACGGGCCACTTGGTTGATCAAAATGACAATATGAGTGTTATTATTAACAGTATGATCACTGTCGATAATGTACAATTTCTTTACACTTCTTTTTTTCACCTTAACTATTATGCTACGAGAGAGGTACAAATTCCTGTATTTCAAATGACCTACAATAATTCCAATTTGTGTACTTAAGCCATCAGTGTGACACATGGGTTCATTTGTTTCATTTCATGTTCAATTTTTAGGAATTGCTTTTTCTCTTCATTTTTATTTAACTCTGCTTTAAAGTTCTGAAAAGCATTTACATGGTTCCTAAGTTAAATATAAAAACAAGGTACATTCGGAGAAATCATGCTTCTATCCTTCACTTTCACTTTCCTAACTTTTTTTTAAAATTTTTTAATTTTTAAAAAATTTTTAAAAAATTTTTAAAAATTTGTCAAATTATAATTGTCAAATAACAATTGTGTATATTTATAAAGTTCAATGTGATGTTTCAGTCTGTGTACATTACAGAAAGATTCAATCAAGCTAATAAACATATCCATCACCTACAATGTATCTTTTTCTGCAGTGGAACATTAAAAATCTACTCATTGCCTGTAGTCCCAGCTACTCAGGAGGCTGAGGCAGGAGAATTGCCTGAACCCATGAGACGGAAGTTGCGGTGAGCCGAGATCGCGCCATTGCATTCCAGCCTGGGTAACAATAGCGAAACTCGGTCTCAAAAAAAAAAAAAAAAAATCTACTCATTTGGCATCTTTGAAATATGCATTATAATTAACTGTAGTTCCTAAAGACAACTAAAAAACGTTTAGAACTGATAAATCAATTCAGTAAAGCTGCAGGTTACAAAATGAACATACAAAAATCAGCAGTGTTTCTATACAAAAAATGATCTGAAAAAGAAATCAACATAACCACTTAAATTTTGGGTTTTTCATCCATAGTGTTTTTCAAAATCCTAAATATATATAACTATATGCTACTGCTTTCTTAAGGCATACCACACACGCCCATTTGCATCTTGCTTTTGTCACTTAAAAACATATTTAAGTGATCCATATAAATGGTGATCCATAGCAGTATATGATATAGCTGTTCCTCACTTCCTTTGGGTTACATAGCAGTCCTTTGTACAAACAGACCCTAACTTGTACTAGTCCTTTACTGATGGAAATTTGGGCTTTTTTCCAGTCTGCTGTTATTACAAATTGGCCTGCAACAAATAGACTTGTACATACAACTTTCTTGTATTTGCCGGTATATTTTTGGAATATATTCCAAGTGGGATGATTGAGTCAAGGGGTGAAATGATTTGTAGTTTTGTGAGATACTGCCAAATGCCTCTGCACAGGGTATACCAATCTGCTTCCCTCTAGCAGCATTGGATGATAGTGCCCATTTCCTCAGAGCCTCACCAATCAAACAGGCTGGCAAACTTGCAGATTTCTACTCACGAGAAAGATCATAAAGTAGTTTTATTTTGTATTTCTCTTGATATGGGCAAGAGAATCTTTTCAAATGTTTAAGGGCCATTCACAATTCATTTTTAGTCCTGTCCACATCTCTTACTCATTTTTCTTTAGAGTTGTTAGTTCTTTTCTCACAATTTTCAAAAAGAGCTTTTTTTTTTTTTTGGAGAAGGAGTCTCACTCTGTTGCCAGGTTGCAGTGGCATGATCTTGGCTCCTGGGTTCAAGTAATTCTCCTGCCTCAGCCTCCTGAGTAGCTGGGACTACAGGCACGTGCCACCATGCCCAGCTAATTTTTGTATTTTTAGTAGAGACGGAGTTTCACCGTGTTGGCCATGATGGTCTCCCTGATCTCACGGTCCTCCCACCTCAGCCTCCCGAAGTGCTGGGATTACGGGCGTGAGCCACAGCGACTGGCCTCAAAAAGAGTTCTTTAAATATTAGGGCTAGTTATCCTTTTGTCAGTATGATTAAAAACCGAACGTACTTTCTTCTAGTTCGTTATTTACCTCTTGACTTTGCTTACGGAGTTTTTGCCACAGAAAAAAAAGGTTTCAACATTTTTATTTAGTCAAATTTATCACTTCTTTAATTGATTTGGATTTTGATTGAAAGATAAGTTTTTCCACTCCCAGGACATTAAAGAATCTACTAATGTTTATACATACTACTTGTGTGTTCCAATTAAAAAATTTAAATTCTCATCCATTTGGAATGTATCCCGGTTTGTGGTATAAAAACATATACAAGTGTATCTTTTTCTGTTGGCTCTCTACTTATCCTAGTACTCCTTACCAGTCTATCCATTTAGATTGATTTGAGATGCTTGCCTTTATGTTACAGTAAATTTGTATCTGTGATTCTGTCTGTATCTGGACTTTCTATTCTGTCCCATTAGCTGCCCTATTCGTGACCTAAGCCACAGTTTGAATTACAGAAACTTTAACATGCTTTGATATCTGCTAAATCTAATAACTCTTACTGTCCCTCCTTCACAGGGTTTTTCTAGATAGTCTTGTTTTTTCAACCAATCTTTAACTACAAAAAAACAGGTGATATTTTCATGTTACATTATCAAAGTAATTTCAAAAAAACTGAGTTTTCATGAGGCTAGGTCTTCTTATCTAAACACATGGTCTGTCTTTTCATTTGTACAGGAGACTTTTTCTTTTTTAAGATGAGAGATACTATATCCTAATGTTTGCTGACAAGAATGACCCACAGGGAAGGGGATGTTGAAGATGCCCAAAAGAGTGAGTCAACTTCTGGACTGATGCTGTGGAGTGGGTCAGAGGGGATGGGATCTAGTGCACAACTGGAGAGGCCGGTGTGAGAAGTACATCCATAGTCATCATGGGTAAATAGGGCAAGGGGCCAGAGGCTGTCAATGTAGCAGTCATTCTCTTCTGATTATTTATATTTTCTCCATGAAACAAGAAATAAGGTGATCAGCTGAAAGTGAAAAGTGAGGAAAAGGTTTTGGAGGCTTGAGAGAAAAGGAAAAAGGTGTAAAATTGGCATCTAGAAGAAAAAGAGAGTGAGCCAGGGCCCATGAATGCAGTGTGGAAAAAAGAATAAGGTAAAAGGAAAAGTCTCCTAGAATTTCAGAGGATATATTCTGTTGGAGAAAAAAAAATCTTGGCATATAGACATGGATGTCTTAAAACAGGAACAGAGAAGTTGCCATATTTGGCAATCTCTTTAAGGTAAGCTTTAGAATTGAGAAATTCGTGGGCATTTTTAAGAGTGCCCTTTCACTTTAAATGATTTCTGCAGCACTGGCATACTCACCACTTCCTCTGAGAACACCTGTCTCTTCACATATTTTGATAAATTTCCTTCTGTAGCATTTTTTAGTATCTCTATCACGTTTTCCAACATATTTAACTGGATATGGAGTATAATCTGAATATTAAGAAGACACAAGCAAAACCAAAATGAAGTTACTGTCTCAATGCTAAGAAACGTACCTGGTTAGATAAACCTGCATTTATAGGTACCTACCCCGCTTTGATCCTACTTCATAATTTATTTGCTTGCACAAGTTAAAAAAAATGTGCTTTAAATGTAAACACACCAGCCAAAATGTGCTTTCCAAAAGTTAGTCAAAACACTACAACTTCAAATTTTGTTTAAGGGTAACACTGGAGAGAGCAGAGATTTTGGTGTCTGGATAGTTGGACTGAAATCTAGATACTGGCAAGTACCAGCTAAGTGACTCTGGACCATGTACTTAATCTCTCAATTTCAATGCCTTCATTTGTAAAATGGGGAAAATAGGTTTAGATCTCACATTTTGGGTTTTATGAACATTAAATAAAATACCAGTATACAGAAGGTACTCAATGAACAAAAATACTGGTTTCCTCCTCTCTATATCCTCTAGATTCAGAGGATATGACAATCAGACAATCTCATAAAACTAGTGACATGGTTTGGCTTTTTCCACCCAAATTTCATCTCAAATGGTAATCCCCAGAGTGTTGGGTGAGGGACCTGATGGGAGATGATTGGCTCATGGGGGCAGTTTCCCCCATGCTGTTCTCATGATAGTGAGTGTGTTCTCATGAGATCTGATGGTTTCCTAAGTGGCAGTTGCCCCTGCTCTCTCCCTTTCCCACCACCTTGTGAAGAAGGTAATTTGCTTCTCCTTTGCCTTCCCCCATGATTATGTTTCCTGAGGCCTCTCCAGCCACAGGATACTGTGAGTCAATTAAACCCCTTTCCTTTATAAATTACCCAGTCTCTGGTACTTCTTTACAGCAGTGTGAAAACGGAAAACCAGAACTGGCTAGGGGGAAATGGTACCTTCAACGTTTTTTGGTTTTTTCTGAGATGGAGTTTCACTCTTGTTACCCATGGCTCACCGTAACCTCTGCCTCCTGGGTTCAAGCAATTCTCCTGCCTCAGCCTCTTGAGTAGCTGGGACTACAGGCGTGTGCCACCAAGCCCAGCTAATTTTTGTATTTTTAGTAGAGATGGGGTTTCGCCATGTTGACCAGGATGGTCTTGATCTCTTGACCTGGTGATCCCCCTGCCTCTGCCTCCCAAAATGCTGGGATTATAGGTGTGAGCCACCACGCCTGGCCACCTTCAACGTTTTCTGTTGTTAGGAAGTTGTAGGCACACAGGCTACTGCAGGCATAGAGTAGAAACTGGCTGAAATTTTAATGAGGCACTCCTATTTACACTATCTATTAAGCAACTTTCAAAACTGGGTACTATAGATGTGCTTTCAAAATGATACTACTACCTATCTTCATCAGATAGGTACAATTAACACAAGAAAAAAAGAACACATTTCCCCCAAGTTGCCAATATTCACTAGTATAATTCAAGAAAAAGTTTAAAGGAAGTGAGAATGAGAATTCACCAACCAATGTTACATCCAGTTTATAAGGTGATGTATAAATCTTCCAAATATATTAACTTATCCCCAAAATTTGATCCTACTTTTGGTCAATATACTACACAACAGACATTTATTTCCTCATAGCATTAATATTAGAAAAAGGAAATCTTATTTTTAACACACACATAACAATTCATCATGGAAATATACCATATGTTATTATACTGACCAATGTGTACATATGCATTTTTAAATACTGGTAATGTCTTAGACTTGATTCCCAGAAGTGAAATTACTAAGTCAAAGCATAGAGACATTTTTAAGGCTCTTGATCCTTACAAAAGGTAGTTTTCCTAGAAGAGATTTACCTTTTTAATATTAAAACAGCTATGTTTTCTCACCATTCTGTTTGGTAAAATTTTATACTTTTTGAGTAATTTTTCAGGATGCAGGGTTGTCTTGGTTCTGAAGAGAACAGAAATGATCCCAGGTAGATGAAATACAAAGAACCCGATTTGAATGCAGTGTTCTAAAGCCCAGGCAAAATCATGAGCACACCCTTTTTGGGAGACAACTCTTCATGGAGTCTCTCAAATTTCTGCATGCCTTGAGAGCAAAAGCACTGCTTTTATTCCAGACTACCTTTTTAAGGATATTTGTGTACAACAGACAGTGTCGCATCCAAAGCAAAGTTAAAGGCATGCTTACTGGCTACTACAAGAGATTTGGGTTACCTAAGCTCAAGGTTCTTCTCTTAAAAGCTACTTCCTGTGTGTGCAAGAGGCACATAGAGCTCTTTATGTCTCCCAGCAGCACCTGGGGCTCAGGAAACTTATGTATATCCTGGCATCTGCTATATAATAATCTGTCCTTTATTTCTCAGTGTCTTGTATACTCCACCAGCATTCATGAAACTAGGGCAGGCTAACTCATTAGCTTCCAAGTGGGATAAAATCTCTGACCGTTCACAGTTCTTAACACCTTTGTTAATAAAAACCAATCCCAATTTGGTTGATGGTGGTGTCCTCCCAAAGGCAAAGACAAGTCTACCTTGTACAATGCAATGCTATGTCTCCAGTACAAGGCACCCAGCCAATTCTCAATAACAATAAACAAGAAGGGGAGCTTGGCTCCTCCCAGCAATTTACAAAAATAAACCATCTAGAGCCTTCTGCTAGAAATTACGTACACCCTGGAAGATTTCAATATTTCTTCCTAAGTTTTCCCAACTTCTCTTCCTCCCTCCAGCAACTATCTCTGATTCAGTAGGGATTTCAAGAATAAGGCTCACTACCTTAAAATACACTGATGAAGGACAATGTACATGAGGCAGTCACTGAAAAGGCAAAGAGAAAGTTTAAAGCTAGGGGCTTATCTCAAACCAGTCTCAGGGTACAGCTAAAGAAAACGAAAGTAGAGTACAGCACATTGCCTTAATCCTACAGATTTCAAACAAAAGACTAGGGAAATTCAGTTAGTAAGGAACAGGGGAAATTTTGGTAAGAAACTATTTAAAGAACACGTGCTTCCTGCCTCTGATTTTCTGAGGCCTCAGGAAATAAGTTACTAGATACCTTCGAACAAAAAAGGGAACAGAAGCTCTGAGCATGCAGAACTTCACATTTCTTGTTTCTTTTATTTTCATTTTATTTTTGCCATACTTGAAGAATACCATAGCGTGGGAGAGGCTGCCAGTTTTCTAACCAATATCCATTCTTTACTCCTTTTTTGATAACAGGACTCCCTAACTTTAACAGACTCTTTCATGTATGAAACTCAAAATCTATTTCTCAGGGTTCTTTGCAATTAGATGTGGTCATGGGATTAAGTTATGGCCAATAACACCATTAGTACATGTTATTGGATGAAGACATTTGAGAAAGTATCTTTAAAAGGGATGAACTTCTTTGTCCACTCCCATTTTTCCTACTTCTTGCTGGACCAGGGATGTAATGAATGGAAGTCACATGTTAAAGATAGCAGAGTAGAAATATACAAAGAGGCTGGGTTCCTAATGACATCATGGAATGCCACATCAGGGATGGACTGACCAGACTGCTTTTATACATGGAAGAAAATAAAGGCTCTATTTTGTATAGGCTTTTATTTATTTTTTTTTTTTGGAGTCTATACTGCATTGCTCCTAAACAAATGCAATTCTTAACTTACACATATGAGTAAGATCCTGCCATAAGGGAATTTATGAGAAATGAGTCCTGTCTCCTTTCCTCCCTGTATACTCCAGACTTCCTAGCATAAGTTAGAACTTTAGGTTGACCTAAGTGGGTAGAAGAAAGGGGCATTAAGACAGTCACCTGCATTAACAAATAAATGATAAAAGCAGCAAAACCACTTGTCAGTTTCCTTGCAAGGTAAATTCAATTCCTAAATGGATCTCCAATTGGAGACATGCCAGGTTTATAGAGAAATGATTAGAATTCAAATAGAATCAGTGGACAGTTACCCTGCACTGGTCTCTGCTACTTTCAGACATATTTGGAAGTAGAAATTAATCCTTTGATGTGAAGCAGCATTGCTAAAGAGGATCTGTGTTTGAGATTGAGAGGTTTCAATTCAGACTGAAAAGGTAGAGTCAACATACATGTGTTTTGATGAGATCTGTTAAACCAATGCAGTATGTATTAAGTATTAGTTGGGAAAACAGGAAACTGGGCCCTCTGGGTCACACTGAGAACAGGAGCAATTCAATAAAACAAGGTAGGGAGAAAATTAAGTTCAAATTTCAACTGACAGCAGCAAAAAATTTTAGCATAAGGCATTAATTTTTAAAGTTGATCAGAAAAAAGTTTCATTTATTTCTGTGAATACTGACTAACCAGACTCTACTCAGCCTGTCAGTTTCCATCTCTCAATAATTAACAAGCTGTCTTTAAGGATTTCAAGTAGATGAGTTAGCCTTAGAGAAGAAGCTAAGGTCCATGCAGTCTTTTATTTATTATTTTTTTGAGACACAGTCTTGCTCTGTGGCCCAGGCTGGAGTGCAGTGGCACAATCTCTGCTCACTGCAACCTCTGCCTCCTGGGTTCAAGTGATTCTCCTGCCTGAGTCTCTGAGTAGCTGGGACTATAGGCGTATGCCATCATGCCTGGCTAATTTTTTGTATTTTAGTAGAGATAGGGTTTCACTGTGTTAGCCAAGTTGGTCTCGATCTCCTGACCTCGTGATCCACCTGCCTTGGCCTCCCAAAGTGCTGGGATTACAGGAGTGAGCCACTGCACCCACCCATGCAGTAATTTTTTTTAAAATGTCCTCTACTAACAGAGACCTAGAATCTAAAAGATTACTAAACTTGAGAATGGCAACCATATAATTTTCATAATCTCTGAGGAAGATGACATAGGCTTATATTACAACATGAGAAATTTCAGTTGAACATTTGAAAGAATTTCCTGAGAATTTTTAAACACTGAAACTATCTTTAAGTTTCTTGACAGTGGGTAATTCTGTGATACAGTTCAGAGAGGATGATTCATACTCAGTATCTCTTCAAGGTCTCCTAAGAAGTCCTTGCCTGAAACACACCCATCTCAACTGCATCCATAGGCTGACTTTCCTTTCTAGCCCTCAGCGGAAAGGAGCGGTTCCAGCTGCCTGGTGGGCAAGCACATGCTTTCTCCACCATGCCCTGCATTGCTCTTCCTACTGGGAATGGACAGCCTCATGCTCAGCAGGTTCATGTTTAACTCCACCAAAGTACCTTCTCATTTGGAAAAAAAAAAAATCATTAATAGATTCTTTTTGTTGTTATTGCAGACAAAGCCTTGTTCTGTTACCTAGGCTGGAGTGTGATGGTACAATCTCCACTCACAGCAACTTCTGCCTCCCAGGTTCAAGCAATCCTCCTGCCTCAGCCTCCCAAGTTAGCTGGGATTACAGGCATGCACCACCACGTTCAGCTAACTTTCATATTTTTAGTAGAGATGGGGTTTCATTCACCATGTTGGCCAGGCTGGTCTTGAACTCCTGACTTCAAATGATGGGCACACCTCAGCATCCCAAAGCGCTGGGATTACAGGCATGAACCACCGTACCCAGCCCATGCATAGATTCTTATAACTGTGAGAGACAGGCCAGGATGGGAGGAGATGATAAATCTAAATCCAGAGTTGGATTATATGCACTGGTGGGATCATGTTTTTTGACATCCAGTCTTGTGTTCTTTTTATTCACGAGGAGCCGCTAGTCCCAGTCCTGGATAAAAGAGACACCCTTTTCAGCTCTGTAGGTCTGGAGTGGTGAGGAAACCCTAAGCGTTGCAGTCAGTTGTTGGTGTTAAAACCCTGACGCTGCTATTTAATTAACTGGGAGAAGCTAAGGTAATTTATTCACTCTTGAATCTTCATTTTCCACATTTATAATGTGGAGAAAAATTGTTTTGATAGAACTTTTGTTGTATAACAAATATAAAGTACCTAGCATGATACCTTCAATAAATTAAATTGAAACTCTGCTTACCTCACTGTTTGACTTCTTACCACCAATGCTTATTGAAATCCTCAACTTTGCTTCAACTCTAGGAAAAGCGACCAATGATCCAAGTAAAACACTTCTCCCATTTTCTCCTGTCTTTCTTTCCTACCTGATGTTATAAGAGACTTGGATAGCTTTAGCTTTAGTGGAAGAGTATCTTGTTAATCCCACCAGTTCTACCCTGCCACATTATGACAGATGAGACCTCTGAAGGTCACTCTCTCTCTCAGAACCAGTTATATACTGGAATACCAGAGCTGTCCATATCCAGTAGGAAGCAGAGAAGTCAAAGATGTACTGTGCCTGTTGGAAGACCAGGCTTCCCAGTCTGTTTAGCTTACTAGTATCACTTGCTCAAATAACTTGACCTTCTGGACTCTGGACCTTTGCCAACCTTGGCCTCTCAGACCTGCTTTAGCCTGTGAGCTTTTCAGGCTGACCCACCTGCTCAGACCTACAGTTTCTGCTTTGGCCCCCAGGAGGAACAGGAGCTACCTTCAGCAGCCTAACACAGGGACAGCTCTCAGCCATTTGGATTTCTACACAGCTATGAGTCCTTTCCTGTCTTTTCTGGTGCTTCCTCTGCCTCATCATTAATGCCTTACAAACTCATTTCTGAGCCCTCTTACTTCCCCGCTTGCTTATGGCATTCATCAGTTCATATCAAATCCATTACCAGGTGTATATAGTTGAATTCATGCCCTCCAAGCTCATGCCCTTTGGAACTGAAAAGTCTCTTTGTCAATATTTTTCTAGTACTTTATTTCTTCCATTCCAAACTCATTTCATTTTTTCAAATTCTGTTACCGCTGTTTCCATCTTTCTGGTTCCTCGGAGTGAACTTTCTCTCATGTAAAAGCTGCTGTACCCTCCCTAAAGGCCCCTCACGTTGCTCCTGTCAGCCACCCCTGATCCCCCTGATCCTCTTCATCTACTCATCTTAGAATACTCAATTAATTACTGTGATCTGTTATCCTAGTTTGTGTCATGCTAATGCTTACACATTTCTATCCTTCTGAAAATGTTTTCTTCATCTCAACCTTTTGACTGTTTCAGGAGACTATAAACTCCTAAAAGTTTTTTCTTTTGCAACTCCCCACATATAAGTAGTCACAGTATGCAAGGAGTCTCAATATGGACTGGTGTCCTTAAGGATGAGATAGTCTTTTTTAATTGGTCCAGGAAGGTTTTCTGACTCACTGCTCAAACTCTGGGAGTGGTAATATACCTCAAACTTTATTTATTATTATAATCTTGTGAACCTGTGATAATTTTTTCCCTTTGCTTTTAGTTTTAGGGATTAAGGTTTTGCATGTCTTGGTGATATGTGTGCAGCCACTTGCTGACCCAGACCACAAGGCCCCAAATAAGTGACCCAGGTGGCCCAGATACGTTAATGGGGAAGAAGGCCATGGGCATACTGGCAACATAATAAGAATAACAATAGATAACGTTTATTGAATGCTTACCACATGTCAGGTACTATTTTGTGTACCACAGGCATACAAGCTCGTTAATTGCAACAATGCCATGAGTTAGGGACCACCAATAAGATGCAGTTAGCACACAGGTTTCTTTCAAGGCTCAGTAAAGAGCCTGGAGGATGTGTCTCCATCCCCTCCTCCTCTCTACATCTACAGCTTTCTTAGCCATATTCTCATGTCTTCAGCATCTAGCCATGTCTTATACGTGAGCATATCTACCACTCTCCTATCTGTTTACAAAATCCTGGAAGCAACAGCTGTGTTGACTCTTCTTACAAGGGTGATACTGTAATTTTCACAGAGAAGAATTCAATAAATGACTGCTGATCAGAATTGAATAAAAACATTGGGAGATAAGTCATTATATACAGCCAAAAATTTAGGCATCATTTTATTATAATATATGTATACATTTCAAGGCTTACCTTATACCATAAAGAAGTCACTTACATTTAAATTAGTGCAGGTTATGCTTTCTGGATTCATGATTTGAGAAAAAATGGACATAGCTTGTGCCACCTCATTCTAGAAGGAAGAGAAACAATCATATCCTATACCATATGAACTAATGTTATTGTAAAAGATTACTTAGAGAAGGCAGTATATTCCTATTAAGGTGACTCCAGGGTTTTGAAGTCCACAAGGAAAAAATGTTTTGGAAATTAAAACTAAACATTCCATAAAATGCTCCCTCCAAGAGCATATTGTTGAATATTTTAACAACCTGACTGAGTCCAGTTTTTAAGATGCAGGCATAAAGTTGGCATTTCCCCTTCTCCTACTGGAATCAGCTTCTAAAAAAATAGGTATGAGGAACAAAGTGCAAAGCCTGTCTTTGACATATATGATTAGAACTTAGAAACCTCAACCACAGCAGAGTTGGAAACACTGCTGGAAACCCTGGAGATGGAGGCTGGCCGGGTTCAGGAGAAAGCAGTCAGAGGTGGACGGTGCTCCGTATCTCAGAAAGAACCCACAACAGGACAGCTCTCAAAGGTAAGGGCACCACCTGAAGTACAAAATCTAATTCCTGTTTACAATGATGAGAAAGAACAGAGTGTAAGACTAGTAAAGAGAACTTCTGTGGATCCTTGTGGTGGCAGAGATGAGGCTAGTCAAGCATTTCCATAGACAAGCCGTATTCACTGGAAGCAGTATGTTCCTAAGACAGCAGCGGCAGAGAAGAGACTGCTCGCCAAAAATCTCCGCAGTGCCTAATCCTGTTGGCTTAAAACAAAGAAAGCCGGTATATACTTGTTGACAAAACTCTGGGTTATAGGAAGAAAAATCCTGCTAGTCTAGAACAGGGCTCTGGTGTGCCTCTCTGTTGCGCTCTCTCTCTCGACATAAATCTACAAGTGACTGGTCTAAAAGAAACTTACGTTTTTCTTTGATTTTTAAATTTTTATTTTTTAGAGACAGTCTTGCTCTGTCACCCAGACTGGAGTGTAGTTGTGTAATCACAGCTCATTGCAGCCTCAAACCCCTGGGCACAAGATATTTTCCTGCCTCAGTCTCCTGAGCAGCAAGGACTACAGGCATGTACTACATACTGCTGCACTTGTTTTTGTTTTTGTTTTGGAGAGACAGGGTCTCCCTATGTTGTCTTGGCTGGTCTCAAACTCCTGGGGACTCAAGTGATCCTCGCCAATCCCAAAGTGCTGGGATTACAGGGAGGAGCCACTGTGCTAGGCCTGAAACTTACTTTTCAATGTGAATAGTCAAAAAAGAACCACCACATGACACTCATAAAGATCATATTTTTAAAAGGGGAAAAGGAACACAGTAGAACAAAATTAAGAAAATAACTGGCAGAGTGACTCACGCCTGTAACCCTAGTACCTTGGGAGGCGGAGGCAGGCGGATCCCTTGAAGTCAGGAGTTCAAGACCAGCCTGGCTAACCCAGATGGGTTTAGTAGAAATCCCATCTCTTCTAAAATACAAAAATTAGCTGTGTGTGGCCAACATGGTGAAACCCCATCTCTACTAAAATACAAAACTTAGCTGGGTGCACGCCTAAAATCCCAGCTACTGGGGAGGCTGAGGCAGAAGAATAACTTGAACCCAGGAGGCGGAGGTTGCAGTAAACTGAGACTGCGCCACTGCACTCCAGCCTGAGTGACAGAGTGAGACTCTGTCTCAAAAAAAAGAGTAACTGGCCGATGAAGAAACCCTAATAGAAAAATATTTCCATGGACATAGCAGAAAGAAATGAGAAAAATGAACAAGATCATGTCAATCAGAAGTGGAAAAAAATCAGGCAGGCCTTAGATTTCTCCACAGCAATATTCCATACTAGAAGACAGAAAAGCAATGCCTAAAAAAACCTCAAGAAAAGCAAATGTCACCTTGAAATTGTAAATCTGGCCAAATTGTAGTTCAAGTACAAAAACAACAGGCAAATAAAATAATTTAAAATACCAAGAACTCAGGGGATACTGTTCCTCCAAAGAATTTACCGGAATACTCACTTCAGCCAACAAGCATCAAGCAACGTATTTATCTCCACACAGGACTAACGAGTGGGGAGTGAGGCTATAGAACAGAGTGCACATGTTACATGCTCGGACGACGAAGCAATGTTAACACTAACAAAAGTTAGAAAGAGAAGGGAAAGACATTAGAGGTAGAGAATGCATTCCCATTTCATTATCTTTATTATCAGTGGCCCAAAAAATATCACTTAAAACTGACAAATCAAGTACATTTAAGAGTAAAGTGAGCACTATCAAAGTGAAATACCAACCAAAATTGGGTGGTGGAGGGAGAGCAGGAAAATAAGACAAAAAACAGGGAATATATTAATTTCACCATTACTTATATTAGGGAATTAACAGGTATTATAAAAGAATTAGAGAATTAAGAAAATCAAAACTATGGTTTTTAAGTCACCACTAGAACAAAAATACCAACTAGAGAAAACAACCACATGGCATAAGATAGTAGAAAAAGTTACAGAAACAGAAAGCATCAAATAAGACCTGAGGTCAAATATATGTCATATTAATATAAATGGATATTAAAAGATTAGCATCATATTACAAAGCAACATAGAAATTTATGTAGTATCTAAGACATACAGCTAAAACAAAACAATTCAGAAAGACTGCAAAAATAAGGGATAGGAGGCCGGGCGCAGTGGTTCACGCCTGTAATCCCAGCACTTTGGGAGGCCGAGGCGGGTGGATCACGAGATTGAGAGATCGAGACCATCCTGGTCAACATCGTGAAACCCCGTCTCTACTAAAAATACAAAAAAAAAAATTAGCTGGGCACGGTGGTGCGTGCCTGTAATCCCAGCTACTCAGGAGGCTGAGGCAGGAGAATTGCCTGAACCCAGGAGGCAGAGGTTGCGGTGAGCCGAGATCGCGCCATTGCATTCCAGCCTGGGTAACAAGAGCGAAACTCCGTCTCAAAAAAAAAAAAATAATAAGGGATAGGAAAAGCTGTACATCAGGCAAATGCACACCTGATAAAAACAAAGAAAGAAACAAGCAAAAAGAGGGGTGGAGATATTAATATTGGATAAGGTTGAATTCAGGGCAAAGGCAGAACACATGACCTAGACAGGCACTTTAGAATGCGAAAGTGAGGGATTTACAATGATGACGTTACAGTGATGATGTCTCTGTGCACCAAACAGTATAACTTGCACATGAAGAAAAACTACAGGAGCTACACAAAGAAAGAAAAACACATACCTTAGAAGAGACTTTAATTCACCTCACTCACCTCATGACAGATTAAGAAGACAAAATAATTCCCCTGGATACCAAGGGAAGCTTGGAACGTTAAATAAATGTTCTTGACCCAGTGGAGGCCTGGTAAGTGTACAACCTCTTCAGTCTTTGTTCTTCAGTGACTCTTCCCAGCAGTATATAGAAGTGGATCACCCTCATATTTTGATTTCCAATTAATAAGAGTTCTCTAGCTATATTTTAGCTATATTTTACCTGCCAGGAAAATAACCTGGCTTGGCTATTATTTTTCTGCTACAAAGTTTCCTTTACTAACATGTAAAGCATTTCATATTTTTTAGGACTTGGAACAGGAAATCTCAGAGGAGAGGCTCTTCCAAGAGAGGGTGTTCCAGGGTTCCAGCACTAACTCTGTCCATCACTGAGGCAGGACCTCAGGGAGCTCCCCTCTTATCTCTGGGTCTCTGCTACCTCCATCTGTCCAGTCAGGGGAATGAGGCTAAATGATCACTAAAGACTTACCCAAATAACAGTAGTAGTTGGGTATAACTATGAAATATATGATGGATCCCACGTCTACAATGGACTGACTCAGCAGTCTTCATTCATCTCAGGCAAATTCAACTTTGGAAAGCATTAAACTAAACTGTTCTCTGAGAACGTTACAACATAAACTGATGATTTGCAATTTTCATTTTAATTACTTGAGAAATTTCTCTACCCTTCTATTTAGAAATGCATGTTAGGTTCCCAAATATAAATGAAAACGTTCTTTGCAGGTATATGTATAGATCATAGGTTTCCATAGCAACAAGGGCATTGGTCTCTTTATTGGGACTACTTCTTTATGATACAGTCAGAAGGAAGAAAATAAAAGCAAAGACACATAAAAGTAGCAAAGTCCTGGCCACTCCCAATTTACTTCTGTGCACCCCAAAGCTTTACCTGATTCAGAGCTAATGCCACGGCGAAACAGGATGCTCTCCTGGGGAGAATTTCTCCTTTGAGTAGGGCTTCTTCTCTTAATGTAGAACAGATTTTAAAAGACTCAGGGCTATTCTGTGAGGAGACAGGATTGTTTGATTAATGTCATAAATCTTTAAGTTCAATAAAATGATGAATAGTGCTCAGTATTTAGAATTCCTTTTGTAAGGATTTCCTACAACCTCCCTCAAGCCACTTAGAAGATTAAGCCCCATATAGAGACTATTTGCAAATACATCAGGCTACTGATATGTTAGCAGCTCAAATCTAAATTAATTTATTTTCAAAGCTCATTTTCAACTTTCTGAATTGGGCAGTTTTTACCAGAATAAGGTTCAACAACACAAGGAAACTTTTCCTGGGGGAATTTCCAATCTAAAAATATTCATATGTCAAATATTTGAAAACATCAGCACTAATTTGAACTTACATTATAAAAGAATCCCATGAAAATAGAAACCTTAAAAAAAAATCCAAGAATGTGAATGACATAAAAACAGGAGGGGTAAAACCAAATCCTCTTCCTTTATGCATGCTGCAGGGGATTAGGTTTATGAGAGCAGCCTGGCTGTGCATCTATGTCATCTGTCATGACCAAGTTGCCACTCTTGTCAAAATAAAGTCCAAATGGGATGAGAGGGGGCCAGAATTGACGTGGAATTTGTACTAGCTGACCAGATCACTTTTTCAACTCATCTCCTCTGGGTGAAACAAGTTATTCTCAAACATGACACAGGGGAGAAAAGTCCTCTGGCCTTTCCTAAGTAGAATTTATTTATTGTTTTTGAGACAGAGTCTTACTCTGCTGCCCATGATGGAGTTCAATGCCGTGATCTTGGCTCACTGCAACCTCTGCCTACTGGGTTCAAACGATTCTTCTGTCTCAGCCTCCAAAGTAGCTGGGATTATAGGTATGTGCTACCACACCTAGCTAATTTTTGTTTTTTTAGTAGGGACGGGGTTTCACCATTTTGGCCAAGCTGGTCTCGAACTCCTGACCTCAGGTGATTCACCCACCTCAGCCTCCCAAAGGGCTAGGATTATAGGTGTGAGCCAGTATATACTCAAGGAGACATCCCTAAGTAGAATACAGAAGACTGGGAATTGCAATGCTGAGTAAGTGATGCTCTAGTGCTGTGTGGTTTTTTGGCCTCCTAGAATCTTAGAACGGTATGAATGGAAAGAATTACTGAATCCAGAGGTCAGCAAGCTATGACCCTCAGGCTAAATGTAGCCAAAGCTAAGAATGACTAACATTTTTAAAGGCCTGTAAAAACAAAAACAACAAATATAGTACAGAGAGGACAGAGATCATATGAGGCAGAGACATATGTGGTCCCCAAAGCCTAAAATATTTACTATCTGGCCTTTTATTAAAAAAAGTTTGCTGACTTACAAATCTAACCCTCTCATTTGTAAAATGAGATAGGCAATGAGTTCTAAGCTACATAAAAGCCAGTTAATACCAAAGTTACGACTAGACTCCAAGTTTCTCAATTTCCAGTTGGTTTTCTTTCCACTATAACCCAGCTGTCCACTCGTTTTGGAAAACTGGTATTGCTACACTCTTTATGGGTGTTTTTCAGCAGCCCACGTTCTTCGACTTCGCTTGGAGTTCCTTTGTTTCCAGTATAAAGAGGTTTTGTGTGCCAGGTTAACAATGTCTAAATGACACGAATGACAACAGTAATACATTAAACACTGACCATTTCATGATTTCAATTATCATTCATTTACTAAACTAAACACTGAAGAAATAGTTTCTACGGGCAAGAAACAATCCTGGTACAGTAATGATAAAATAACTTTTTTTTTGAGACAGAGTTTCACTCTTGTTGCCCAGGCTGGATGTAGTGGCGTGACCTCAGCTCACTGCAACCTCCACCTCTTGGGTTCAAGTGATTCTCCTGCCTCAGCGTCCCAAGTAGCTGGGATTATAGGCACCATGCCCGGTTAATTTTTTGTATTGATAAAAGAACTTGTAAGTCATGGTCTCTGTCCTGAGTTCATTTTCATGTCACCTACATTTATTAAAAAACAACTGGATACCAGGCACTGTGTTATGTGGTGGGATACAAAGAAGCCTTAAGGAGCTCACACTCAAGTGGGGAGAATGGAACGTGGATCTGCCAAGTACAACATTAGGCTATGTCAAAGTACCAGGGAAGTGACACAAACAGAGCATAAATAAGGGATATCTGGAGGTGACAAACATCACTTCCGAATCTGGTGATTACAAAAAACTTCACAGATGAGGACAAAGTCGTCCTTGAGTTTACCAATGAAGGAAGCTAAGATTTCCATAGAAGGGGACAACAGGGAAGACGGATCTAGCAGAGTTCAGCATGAGAGATGACTCTAAAGCAGAGACTGAACCCAACACATTGCCTCTTGTTCTCACTATCTACACAAACACCAGAGAAGAGTGGTAGATGAAAAAATTACTTTTCCCATGACAAAACTGTCTGATATAGCTAACTTGAGTTTTCTAAAAATGAATACATTTAAAATTAAAACATTTGCACCAGATGAAAAACAGACTTCAGAGGAACTGAATTTTATTTGAAGAGAGAAAAAAAATCCTCCCTCAAAGACTACCCACAATGCTCTCAAAGTTAAGGGGAAAGAATCTTACCAGTTTATAGCAAATTGCAAAAGCAAGAACATAGGTATCTACAGTGAACTTCACATCTTGGTTTTTCATCTCTATCAAGACTTCCAAAGCACCTGCCAAAAGTGAAAAGTGGATCGCGGTGTTAGCCAGAGTTCCTCTACTCCTGGCGCCCAAAGCTCTCATCTGTTCAGCAACATCTACTGAAAAGTGTATTTCGACAAAATAAAAGCCATTTCTTAAAGTCATTTAGCAATTAACTAAATGTTAAAATAAACTATCAGGTCATACAGGAAGAACTAATCTTTTAAAAGCTGCTTTACAATTTTAGCATAAGTAAAATCTGGGATATTTATTTTAAGTGATGGCACGCAATGCAATGTTTTCAAACTTCATTAGGTCTCCATAATTCAGCCACTTATCAAGACTATAGGAATCACTTTTGCATGACTCATTTTCCCCCTAATTCCTACACCAGCAAACACCGCAGAATTGTTCAACAAATAGAAATTGCAGAACTTACTTTTATATTTGCCTTTGATAAATAACATATCCATCAAAATGTTGAATGATGTGGAGTCTGAGAAGAAACCATGCAAATGCTAATGAAGAAGAACAATACAGTTTGGTTAAAAGTTAAAACTATTTACTAAGGAGGTACTTTTACTGTCTTTTTTTTTTTTTTAAACAGAGTCTCTCTCTGTTGCCCAGGCTGGAGTGCAGTGGTGCAATCTTGGCTCACTGTAATTTCTGCTTTCTGGGTTCAAGCGATTCTATTGCCTCAGCCTCCCAAGTAGCAGGATCACAGGCATGCACCACCTCTGCCGGCTAATTTTTTTTTTTTTGTATTTTTAGTAGAGACAGAGTTTCACTATGTTGGCCTCAAACTCCTGACCTCATGTGATACACCTGCCTTGGCCTCCCTACTGTCTCTTATCTCTCCAGGTCTTTACTTTTCTGTATACTTTACTCATTTGGCCTTGTGAATTCTCTAATGTATTTTATATACCAAGGTTTTATTTTTGAAAAAAGTTCAAATGCTGCCCACTCTCTTGGCTGTCATGCCTTTGGTACTGGGCATGTTGAACAAGAGGCAAGATGTATAGCAAGAGATCTCAGGGTTTCATAATTACCATGAAGGGCATCTTTAAGGAAATGTCGTCTGTCATGCTTAGGAGAAAAGAAACAAGCCAATTAACCCTGGAGGGGTGGTCCTGGACACTAGGTGCCAGCTATTAACATGAAATGGCAGCTATAAATACACTTGAATACAACTTGAATAAGCAGGAGGGTCTTATACAACTATGGTCTTTTATTGGCAAACGGATTATACAGAATTGATTACTTGCCTTTTGAACATTTTTTCCAAGTTGTATGTATGTATTTATTTATTTTAATTGACAAATAAAAATTGTATGTATTTGGCCAGGTGTGGTGGCTCACACCTGTAATCCCAGCACTTTGGAAGGAAGAGGTGCATCACTTGAGGCCAAGCGTTCGAGACCAGCCCAGGCAATACAGCAAGACCCCATCTCTTTAATAAAAATTTAAAAAATTAGTGTGGTGGCACAGGGCTGGAGTCCTAGCTACTTGGGAGGCTGAACTGGGAGGATTGCCTGAACCCAAGAGTTGGAGACTGCAATGAGCTATGATAAATAGTGCCACTGCATTCCAGCTAAGGTGACAGAGCAAGACCCTGTATCCAAGAAAACCCCCCAAAAACAGTATGTTTGTTTATGTATATATTACAGAATGGCTAAGCCAAGCTAATTAACATTTGCATTGCTTCACATATTCATTTTGTGTGGTGATATTGGGGTTTTGGGGTTCAGCGGAGTGCTCAACTCACTCCCCAGTGGGCTCCAGGCTCTTGGTCTCCTGCTCTCTCAAGAATGAGAGAGGGGACCATGGCAAGTGTACTCATAAAGTAAATATTGGACCCCAAAACAGTGTTTGCAGAAAGTGATTTATTTAGGTAAAGAAAAAGAAAAAGGAGAGAGAAAAAGATGAAAGAGAAAAAGGCTTCCATGAAGAGTGCAGAAGGGGACCGCAGGGGGGAAATCTGCCCAGAAGAGGAAAACAGGGACTTTTAACATGGGGGGGAATTCCCACCTTCTCCAAGTTCCCTGGCCAATGAAAAGAGTTCCCTTAAACTTCCGCTGGAGTGATTGACTTTTGACCCTTTTCCACTCTGGATGGAGAGGCATGGGAGAGGGGAATGGCGCTGGAAAGTTCTTGCCCTTAAAACTACACCCCCTTGTGGACCCGGAAAGAGAACACATTCCCTCAGCGAGAACACATAAAACTTATTCTCTAGGCAATTTTGAAGAATACAATACATTGTCATTAATTATAGTCACCATGCTGTACAGAGACCCCTTGAACTTATTCCATCTAACTGAAATTTTGCATCCTTTGACCAACATCTTGCCAACATCTTCTCAACATTTTGTGTGCCAAGATAATGTGACACATGGTATTCAAATGTGTCATTACATGCCTTGCTCAAGTTCACTTTTTTTTGAGCACCTACTATGCAGACCCTGTTCTAGGTGCTGAGAATAAAGAAATTAGATAAACAGGACATACACCCTGCTCCAAACCCTACTAGGGTTTGTAATCTAGTGGAGCTTAAATTCTGTTGGGGGAGACAAGTGAAAAAATATTAATTTCAGCTATTAGTAAAGTCTATGAAAGGTAAGTAGAGAAGAGAGATGGAAGGTAGTCAGGGGAGGCACTGTGAGAAGAGACCTCAGTGAGGTCAAGGAGGGACCCTCAAGGATGAGGATGCACAGCATTCCAGTTAGAGTCTGTGAGCTCACCATGGCCAAGGAAGAAGATGCAGGTCCAGAGTAAAGTCAGCAAGGGAGAGTGGGGAGATTACACAAAGGGCCCCCTAGGTCAGAGTCAGAGATTTGGGTTTTAAGTGTGAGGGAAAGCCACCAAAGCAGCCCTAGGCAATGGAAAAGTATTTTGAGTCACCAAGAATATTTCAGAATCATAATGTATGTGATTCTAAATTTTCAATTAGCCTCACTGAAAAAAGTAAACAGAAGAGAGGAGGATCCAAGATGGCCGAATAGGAACAGCTCTGGAGTGCAGCCCCCAGCAAGAACAACACACAGAGTAAGTCATGATCGCATTTCCAAATAAGTTATTATTGCCCAAAGACCAGTAGATTCCCAGGCTGAAAAGCACTACAAGTCTCCAGCATGGCTGTTTCAGCCAACACAGCAGGTCTCCGCACAAAAACTCACACAAATTTGGGTGGCCATTTCAACTGGCACCTGCGATGCCTGGGAGACAGAGCCACCCATTCAACTGAAAAAAAGGGGGCTGAAACAAGGAGTCAGGTGATCTGGCTCAGTGGGTCGCATCCCCACAAAGACCAGCAATATGAAATGCTCAGGATTGAGAGTTTCAAAGCAAGTGCAGCTGGATACAGGACGGTCCCACTCTGCGGGAGGAAGGGCGTCCGCCATTGCCAAGGCAGTCTGCCACTACCAAGGCAGTCTGCCATTACAGAGGCAGTCCACCATTACTGAGGCAGACTGCCATTACCGAGGCAGTTCTAACTATACCTCTATAAACAAAACCGCAAGGAAGTTCACAAAGCAGCTGGGAAGAGCTCATGGCAGCTCAGCAACTCCTCTGCTGGCACACTGTGACTAGGCTACCTCCTATCTGGGAAGAGCAGCTCTGAAAAAACGCAGCAGCATGTCAGAAACTTATAAATAAAGATCCACCATCCCAAGATAGTGCACCTGGGAAAAAAGGTAGTTATGAGTTCCGCTGCAGCAGACTTAAACGTACCTGCCCAGCAGCTCTGAACGAAACAACGGAGCTCACAGCTCAGCAGCTGAGCTCCTTTAAGGGCCAGAATGTCTCCTCAAGCAGCTCCCTGACCCCTGTATATCCACAGAGAAACCTCATTAAGTAAAGCTCAGGCTGACATCTGGTGGCTATCCTTCTGGGACCAAGATAACAGAAGAAACTGGCAGCAACCCTTACTGTTCTGCAGCCGCCACAGGTGATCCCCAAGCAAGCAGAGTCTAGAGTTGACCTCCAGCTGTCCTACAGCAGAGGAGGCGGACCATTAGAAGAAAAACAAAAAAACAGAAAGAAATAACTTTATCATCAACAAAAAGGACATCCACTCAGAGACCTCATTCGAAAGTCACCAATTACAAAGACCACAGGTAGATAAATCCATAAAGATGGGAAGAAACCAGCAAAAAATAGGATGAAAACACCCAAAACCAGAATGCCACGCCTCCTCTAAGGGATCACAACTCCACCAGCAAAGGAACAAGGCTGGATGGAGAATAATTCTGATGAACTGACAGAAACAGGCTTCAGAAGCTGGGTAATAACAAACTTCTCTGAGATAAAAAAACATGTTCTAATCCAATGCAAAGAAACTAAGAACCTTGAGAAACGGTTTGACAAAATGCTAATGGGAATAAACAGCTTAGAGAGGATATAAATGACCTGAAGGAGCTGAAAAACACAAGAGAACTTCGTGAAGTATACACAGGTTTTAATAGCTGACTCAACCAAGCAGAAGAAAGGATATCAGAGATTGAAGATCAACTCAATGAAATAAAATGAGAAGGCAAGAATAGAGAAAAAAGAAATGAACAAAGCCTCCAAGAAATATGGGATTGTGTGAAAAGACCTAATCTACGTTTGATAGGTATACCTGAATGTGATGGTGAGAATGAATCCAAGCTGGAAAACACTCTTCAGGATATTATTCAGGAGAACTTCCCCAACCTATCAAGGCAGGCTAATATTCAAGTCCAGGAAATACAGAGAACACTACAAAGATATTCCTCAAGAAGAGCAACCCCAAGGCACATATTCATCAGACTCACTAGGGTTGAAATGAAGAAAAAAATGCTAAGGGCAGCCAGAGAGAAAGGTCAGGTTACCCACAAAGGGAAGCCCTTCAGACTCACAGTGGATCTATCAGCAGAAACCCTACAAGCCAGAAGAGAGTGGGGCCAATATTCAACATCCCTAAAGAAAAGAACTTTCAACCTGGAATTTCATATCCAGCCAAAAAAGCTTCATAAATGAAGGAGAAATAAAATCCTTTATGAACAGGCAATTGCTGAGAGATTTTGTCACCACCAGGCCTGCCTTACAAGAGCTCCTGAAAGAAGCACTAAACATAGTACCAGCCACCCCAAAACTATACCAAATGGGAAAAAGCATCAACACAATGAAGAAACTGCGTCAACTAATGGGCAAAACAACCAGATAGCATCAAAATGGCAGGATCAAATTCACATATAACAATATTAACCTTAAATGTAAATGGGCTAAATGCCCCACTCAAAAGACACAGACTGGCAAATTGAATAAAAAGTCAAAATCCATTAGTGTCCTGTATCCAGGAAACCCACCTCACATGCGAGGATACACATAGGCTCAAAATAAAGGGATGGAGGAAGATTTACCAAGCAAATGGAAAGCAAAAAAAGCAGGAGTTGCAATCCTAGTCTCTGATGAAATAGACTTTAAACCAACAAAGAACCAAAGAGACAAAGAAGGGCATTATATAATGGTAAAAGGATCAATGCAACAAGAACTAACA